AAAATGTATATTCCATTAAATTGGAGACTCTAGAAGAGATGAACTCATAGATACACATGAATTACCAAAATTGAACCCAGAAGACATAAAAATCCATAATACACAAAGAAAAATATATTAAATCAAGCAGGAATAAAAACCCTATCAATAGACAAAAGCTCAGCACTCAGTAGATTTACTGCTGAATTTTGCCAGAACTTCAAGGAAGATCTAATGCCAATACTCCTAAACACTTCCATGTAATCGAAAGAGAAGGAAAACTGCCAAACTCATTCCCTCAACCTAACATTTCCCTGATGGGTAAACCAAACTATGATACAACAACAACAACAAAATGAAATGAAAGAAAGCTACGGGTCAATTTCTTTAATAAGCATAGACCCAAACATCCTCAACAGACTCTAGCAAACAGAATGCAACCAATCATTAAAAATATCATATTGGCCTCACTGTAGTGATGCAAGGAAGGCTCAACATACATAGATTAATAAATATAATATACCAAATAAACAGAAATCAAGACAAAAATCACTAGTTTATCTCAATAGATGTAGAAAAAGCCTTTGATTAAATCCAACACCTATTCTTTATAAAACCCCCATGAAAATAGCTATAGAAGAATATTACCATAAATTTATATAAGCCATTTATGACAAACCCACAGCTAACTTCATACTAAATGGGAAAAAACTGAAATCATTCCCTCTAAAATCAGAAACAACTTAAGGGTGTCCACTCTCAGCCCTCCTGTTCAATACAGTACTCAAAATATTAAGTCAGTGCAATCAAACAAGAGAAAGAAACAAAACGAATAAAAATAGGAAAAGAAGAAAACTGTCTTTATTTTCAGATGACCTGCTCCTTTACATAGAAGATCCAAAAACTCAACAAGAAGATGCTTACAACTAATAAAAAATTCAGCAAAGTAACAGGATAAAAAATAAACACACAAATATCAATCCTGTACACCAATAATGACCACACAACAAAGAAATCAGAAAAACAACCCCATACACTGTAGCTTTCTAAAAATCAAATATCTAGGAATTAACCTAACCGAGAAAAATCAAAATACCGACAGCATTCTTAACAGAACTACAAAACTCAATGCTAAAATTTATATGAAATTAGCAAACATCCAGAATGGCCAAAGTAATAGTGAGCAGCAACAAGAACTAGGTCTGGTGGAGCAGATCTGTAATCCCAGTACTTGGGCGGCTAAGGGAAAAGGATTTCCATGAGTTCAAGACCAACCTGGCTTCATAGTAAGTTCCAGGCCAGCCTGAAGTACACAGCAAGATCTTGTGTCAAAAACTTAAAATAAAATCCTGAGCAACAAGAGCAAAGAAACAGAAGTCATTAAATTCCAGATTTCACATTATAATACAAAGCTAAAGTAATAAAAAAAGTATGGCACTGGCACAAAAATAGACATGTTTAACAATGGAGTAGAGTTGAGGATGCAGAAACAATCACAAGCACATTCAGACATCTTATATTTGAGAAGGGTGTCAATAATATATGCTGGAAAAATATAACCTCTTTTTAATAAGTGGTTGTCCACATGCAGAAGACTGAACCTAAAACACTTATCTCTCACCCTGTACCAAAATAATAATGAAATAGATCAAAGAACAAGATATAATGTAGAAATACTGAATCTGCTGAGAGAAAAGGATTGGTAAAATTCTTGTAGACATAGGCAATGACTTTCTGAACAGAACCCCAATTGTACAAATTATATATCAACAATCAACAAGTGTGATTATATCAAATTAAAAAGTTTCTGCACAGCAAAGGAAAAAACAAACAGAGTGAAAAGACTATCTGCAGAATGAGAAAAAAATCCATTAGCTACTCCTAGGACAAAGGAATAATGTTTATAGTATATAAAAAACACAAAAATAATTAGACCCCCCAAATTATAAGACCAATAAAAATGGGTAATTGAACTGAATAGTTACTTCTCAAAAGAAGAAATACAAATAGCTAATAATTACATTAAAATGTTCAGTTTTTGGTCTTTAGAGAAATGAAAATTAAAAAACACTGAAATTCTTACTTCAGTAAGAATGGCTATCAATCATCAAGGACTAAGAAATCAAAAATGCAGATGAGGTTGTGGGGAAAAAAGAATCCTTATATATTTTGATGGGAATATAAACTAGTTCCACCATTATGGATATCAGTATGGAAATTCCTCAAAAAAAGAAATTCCATTTGACCCACCTATACATTTACTTGGGTATCTTCTAGAAAGAGTTAAAGCCATCATATTACAGTGATATATGCATAACTATGTTTATAGAAATACAATTCAGCATAGGTAAATTATGAAAATGACCTATAAACCCATAAACAGAATTATGAATGAGATATTATATGTATAAATATATGGATGAACATATAATGGATGAATGGTATACAGTATATATACAGTGCAGTACTATTCAGCCCTAAAGAATAAATTTGAGTCATATGTATGAAACTAGATGGATCATGAGACTATATGCTAAGAGATATAAATCGGACACATAAGGTTAAATATCACGTGGTTTCTGTAATATGAGAATCCAAAAATATAAATAATTTAAAGTGAGAAATAAAAGATAGTAGGAAACAGGTAGATCCACTTTGTAGAGATGGGAGGGTGGTCTGACTATGGGGTCAGAAAGGCATAGAAAGGAGGGGGAAGGAAAAGTAAATATGCTCAAATGCGATATGTATAACAGTTCCCCCAAATGAATGTAATCAGTATGTGCTGCAAACATATAGTAAAGAAGAAACTGAAAATAACAGTGCTAAATCAGCAAAGAAAGGCAGATTTCTGCTGTAAAGCCACTCCAATCCGTGCATATAAGATTTTCTTTCTTCCTAAAATAAATTGGTCAGGTAATCTTAAACACTATGCCTTTTGCTTTATTCTGTAGGCTAAGAAAATATTCTAAGTGGGATCTTGCCAATCCCTCAGAAAAATTCCAAATTATACTGCAAGTGATGATAATACAGGATTATTCATTTTCAGATTACTACTGTTCATCACTTAAGATTACCACCTATCCCAGACCAATTCAGAAAAACTTAGCATGTTTTCTGGGGTTACTGCAGCATCGTAACATAAATTAGATATGAATTCAAGTTATTGTACAACAAGGTAGTTTATTCTTTGAATCTTATACGTCCCGTTGTAGGGATAGAGACCAGTAGAGGCAGGGAGAAGTGAGGGACCCACTACTCTACCACTACCCCACCCCCACTGAAGAAATTCAGAAAGCTGGCAGAACAAGCTTAACCACCTGTGAACCTCGGCTTCACGCTGTACCCTGCAAAGCTTGGTTTGCTAAGATCAAAAGGAAAACGAACTTAGGCCCTAAAATGTAAAAGACCCCCCAAAAGACCGTTCCCTCTTGTCCCTAGTAAAGAGCTAAATTAATCATTAACCAACCAAGTAAGGACACCCTCATCCCAGAGGCAAGATAGGCCCCCATATACTATAAAACAGCATCAGGAGCCTTCCCCCTTCAAGGGTGGCTCCGTTTCAGGAACCCCTGCCTGTCTCTCTGTGAGAAGGCAGCTGTACTCTTGCACGCTTGCTAAATAAAAGTACAACTTTGCTTCTGTGATTTTGGTCTCTATCTGATTCTTCCACACCCTTCTGCATCAGTCCCCCCCGGGGGGGACTGTGGGGATTCTCCACCTGTGACACTGTGATGTAAATTTATGGGTTCAAAGCCAGCAACATAACAGAATTTTCAGATATCTACTAAATCTGTGACATACCCTTCTTGCCTCTCTATTTCATTTCTATTATCTTAACAAACATACTCAATGTTTAATTTTAGCTACATAATAACCACTGGATCATTCAAGGTGTTATTTACAGGGAAAAATAGTAAAGGGATGCGAATGGTCAATATTACAGCATGCTGCACAAAAGCTACTCTACATTGCTTAGTTCTTTTGCCTTTGAGAGATTCTCAATATCCTTGCCTTCTTCCTATTTGGAGCCCATGGCATTAGGTAAAATCTCTCTTGTCAGTGTTCAGTCCTGTGTTCACATGCATTATGGCTCCATGGACAAAAAAATTATAACAAACCAATCATATAGATGTCAACTTTGTATATGTGTTGCTAAGCGAGCACGTAGATGTCAACTTTGAATGTTTCAATCTGAACATAAAAATACCTGAGTAAGTATTGAATCAGGCAAATTTCTTTTTGTCTCTTACCTTTCAAAGTTATTATAAAAGAGTTTATCTGTCATTAAAAATCCTTCAAATTTCAAATTTGTCAAAATGGCAATCTCATGACTCATTGGAAGTTCATATCACGTGAGAAAAAATGTTATGGCCTCCCTTTATTTAAAGTAAACAGCAACACAAATGGCAAAGGCAACGAGGGAGGGGAGGGAGGGGAAAGAAGGGAAATGGGATTTTAAACAAGAAAATGGAAAGAAAAAAGGGAAATAAAGCTTTTGTAAATGAGGAAGGGAAGAAGGGTTGAAGGGAGGGTAGGGGAATAGGAAAAAAGAGGAATTGAGGTATGACATACAAAGACAAATTCCAGATGAGGAATATATGATCATTATGTATGGTAAATATGTAACAGCAAAAAAAGGAAACAAAGTAAACAGCAATAAGAATTTTGATATCAACATGAAAATTTTCTAATATTTTTAGTATTTCTAAATGAACAAAAGTATGTTTTAATGTAATTGCAATGCTAATTTCTATATTTACACTTCCTTTTTTGGAAAGGAATATGTTAAAATACCAAAACTTAAAAAAAAACTACCAACACTGATTACCTTTTAGTACTGGAATAACCAGTAATGTTTATTTACTTTTTATATTGTTATAGATTTTCCAGACTTTCTATAATAAGCATACAGGTATTCATCTTAAAATCCAAAAGGGTATAGCTCTCAAAAAACTTAATCTGTTTTGCTTTTTATATTAAATCAAGATTAGTTGTAGATATAAGCAAGCAATCTAACATACCTTTTGATTAAATGGGCCCGGCTGTTTACGTAGTTGGAGTCAAAAGCATAATTTTCAGTCTGCAATGACAAAAAGAAGATTTACAAGGTTACACAAACGATTCATAAGAAGAGCCCAAGTGCCCTACTGAAAGACATTTTATTTATTTTACTGGGCAAGAAGCAATGATGAATCAGAAACCAAACCTAAGTGGGGTATCAGAATGAAGAATGCTTTCCATAGAACCCTCAGGGTGCTCTGGCGGCAGCAGCTCTCAAATGGCTAAGACAAAAACATTCCCTAGAATATGGCAGGCTGCTGACCATGCAAAAACTTATGGAGAAGAGATAATATAACTCAGCCATTACAGAAACTAATTGCTTCACATTACCCAGCAGAGACAATTCTGTCTATCAAATTGACTAGAAGTTCAAAAGATATTTTTATTACAAGAAGATAATTAGCATGTTAAAATATTTATAGCAAAGATATAAAATTGCAAGGAAGGCAATCCCCCACTGTTGATTTAAACTCTGCACTTCCTTTTGTTTTCAGACATTTGCTCAACACTGGCTATGCAAGAAAGCCTTCCTTTTATCACAGATATAAAGGCAAATAAGTATTATGCCTAGAACAAGGTGAAGGGCAGTCCACAGGGAGTTCCAAAGCCTTTCATCTGAAACATGAAGTTTGCAAACAAACCTCTACTTCATTTTCTATCACTAAATCACCACTGTCTAATCTAATTACAGTAGACTACAGAGTAACAGCTTCACACAAGAAAATGCACAATACCTGTCAGATGAAAGAGTTGGGAAAAAAAAGAACAGTTTATGAGGACTCAGAGACTGGGTAGATTGAAGGGCGCAGGCTAAGGGGTGCAAACCCGGACAGTCTACATTGAAGTAAGTCAGTGTCCTAGTGAAGTGAGTCTTACATTCCTCACTAAAGCACAATTTTGGCTGAACCATTGTGTGAAATGAAAACTACCCCAACACATTTTCTCCACCCTCCTGCAATTTCACCAAAAATCCCCACCATTCCCACCATTCCCAGGGGCCTTCTGCTGTCGCTTCAACTCAAAGTTCCTGGAAAAAGACTCACAGTATCTGTCTATTGAACAAAATAGCAGATTCCTTTCAGACCACTGCTTGTCAGACATTAACTGCAATAGGCTTTTAGATGTAGTTTTGCTTTCACAGAGTTCACAGTTTGATAGAGAAAATGAGACAGCTAATACCATATCCAAGTACTGCATGGACACAAAATAGGCCACAGTCAAGGTAAAAATACCCTTAATGCCTAGCCAGAATAGTTAGGAAGTAGTCAATGTATACATGGAAGAAAGGAAAACATAATGAGAAGGCAGTTAAGACTCCAAAGTGGTTGGTATTTAATCAGTCATGTCTATCCTCCATGCCTCATTTTAAAAGACTGTGTGATAAATGTATATTCATATTGTTGTTATCTCAAAGTTTATATCCTCTTTCATGTAAACCACAACCAATTTTGTTGCTGTTGACAGAAATAGCTTGGGAGAGTAAAAATCAAAAGGGTCAGGTCATTTTTAATTTGTTCCTAAGAATCTGAATGCTGAGCCCATAATTACGGGAGGAGGGGGCAAGCTTGAAGCTGTGCTGGGAGAACAATCAAAGTATTTTCTGGAATAGGCTATTTATCATTCAGCCAATATTTTTGAGTTAATTCATTTTACCAAAATCATAGGCAAAAATGATGTTGACTACATGTGCTCTCTGATATTCAACACCGTATATTATTTTAAAAATGGAAGTCGCGGGCCGGGGCTTTAGCTCAGTGGTTCCGCCACCTGCCTTGCAAGTGCAAAGACCCGAGTTCAATCCCCGGGACC